GCTCCCGTGCAAGCAAATAAACACGCCCATACAATACTTCTAAACAGGAACTAAGGCGTTAGGGATAGTTGTATCGGCACATGTTATAGGTCTACCTATGTTCCATAATAATGCTATTGCAAATCGTGGTAGTTTAGGCCAAGGTTGCACGCATCATGATGTACCGTAGTAGTAGCACGGTAACATTTGGAATGACGTTTATTCTTTTACCTCTATACACGTGACCTGACGATATTTAAAAACCGTCTTTCCAATTGACGGCATAAGGTTAGATTTGCAAACAAATTTCTGCAAGCATTTATTTATTGATGAAAGAAACGGAAAAAAAATCGTTGTCCAGCAAAAATACCACGTTGCTTAACTATGAGCTGGCCCAAAGGCCGTAGAGTTCTGCGAGGCGGCGCGGTAGGTTTTGATGCTCCCAGTCCCAGCCCAAGACCTGTGCTGCGGCATGCGGGCCTGACCTTCCGATGTTGTGAATCGTGATGAGGTCCAATAACCTGGCTTATAATCCTCAGGCTGACACGCTTCTAACATACGGAAACTCAAATAAAAAAACATACGGAATTTCACAGTAGTTCTCACAAAGGATGTCACAAAGGATGCAGATCTCTTGAAATTATTAACATTAAGCAAGCTCCATTGATCGACGCCCAGCAGAGACTTCTGACTTGGACACGACATTCTAAATTCCACAGACCTGCAAGTTGACCATCAGAGAGACAGAAAAAAGAGAACATAATTCAGTCGCAGATAAGACTAATCGGTGTCACATGCCATCATTTGTCTGCATGATTCGATGCGTTTACCGGTCTCACTCGCTTGCGGTTGCATAAGATAGTGGAGGCCATTGTGGCCTCGCTGGTACTCAGCACAGCACACAGGAAACACCAGTGGGGGTGGTGCTCCATGATATTTCGAAGCATCTTTTCCGTAGCTTTATTTGCCTGCTGTGTGTTTATCCTTTTTGAAGAGTACTGTATAGGCCTGATCTCTGCTCATCAGTCTGCACCATTAAGACGGTGTTCGGATCCGGTGACTAAAATTTAAAAGGTGTGTCGAGAGAATGTTGCATGGGGTGTTCGGATACTAATAAAAAAATAAATTACATAATCTGTCAGTACTCCACGAGATGAATTTTTTAAGCCTAATTAATCCATCATTAGCATGTCTTTACTGTAACACCACATTGGACTAATTAGGCTTAAAAGATTCGTCTCGTAAATTAGTCGCAAACTATGCAATTAGTTTCGTAATTAGTCTATATTTAATACCCCATACATGTGTCCAAATATTCGATGGGACAGCGACTAAAATTTAGTAGAGGCAACCAAACACCACCTAATTTCTTCTTCCATACTTGCTGCTGACACTTTGCTTTCTTCTGAAGACGTGGAAGTGAAAAGGCTGTCGCGATATGTTCGCTTAAACTAGTTCAGCGGTATCACAACAAATCAGTATCAGCATCAGTATAAGCCAAATTTTAGTGAAACGAACAGGTCTAAATTCTATAGAAAATAAATTGGATTGTTTTTTTTTGACGAAAAAACATCTTATTAGTTCTTCCCCATTTGTAAAAAATATTGATGCTTTAGTTAAAAGATATACGCCTATAAAGACATATAGTAATGAGTGAATTAGTACAGCCATTATTGTTTTGTTAGGTTTTGTGTAGATGTCGTACTTGCCTTTGCTGTCTCTTTGGGAAAACTTAGAAGCAATGCCTTGTGACCAGAATATGACGCGCTTGACGTTTCTTTTTTACACTTGACTTTTGGACTGTTGCTTTTTTTTTTCTCATGATGTACGCCTTTTCGACGTATTGTCGGCTAAAAGACGTGAACTCCACCGGAGGCCACGCAACAACACTAGTTTTCCTACAATTTTCCTGAGAGCGGCAGCCATTAAATTTTGTAGAAAAGGAAAGCACTTTGTAGCACATAACTTATTTGACTTGACGATCCTTGATGGGTGGCCAAAAGCGTCTTTCATCTGGTATATATTTCATCTCCATCTTGGTCCATATGTCATGATGAAAAGTCTAACGCGTATATGTCACTTCATGGCAATTTACCGCACCATATGTTCCCCTCTCGCTAGAACGAACAATCACTCAACGGAATATGCTTCATTCTCTACCTATTTTATTATATATATAGGCATGCCTTTATTATACTCCCTCAATTCTAAAAAGAATACAATTCTAGATCTAATATAAGTGAAATTATTTTATTTTAATTAAAGTTATATAAATAGTATCAATAGTTGTGATTTTCAAATAAGTATATACGAAAATATATTCTATATAAATCAAATGATACTTATTTGAAATAATAAATACTAGTATTTTTATAGAAAAATAGTCAAACTGAAGAAGATGAGTTGACTATGCTCTATAACTGGAATTGCATTTTTTTTAGGACGGAGAGAGTATAGGATTTGAATGCTACGGAAAAAAAATCATATATATAATTGAATGTTTATAGATGCCTAAAATTATAGGAAATTTAGGGGTACTTATATAAGATGATGAACTTCGGTTTCATGGAAACCTTTCTGCATTTATCTCTACTCGATCTTGTCGTTTTATATTCTCAGTCTAAATAGTAATTTGTTGATGCTAAATCGATCGCACACCAGCAAAGTGCAAGGTAGCACGGGCAGCACATGGCCGAGACACGCAATGGAGGAAGGTCTAAACGGGGAGAGCAATTTGACACCCGTTCTTCACACGAAATTACCATGAACACCTCGAAGATCTGCCCGGGAGAGACGCACAACAAAGGTGTCCTAGATTGACAAGGCCATCTAGAACATCAGCAAATCTCGGAGAGAGATGTGTTGGATAGCAAGGGTTCGAAGGACTTGAGGTTGAAGGGTAAAAAAGTGCAGTAGATTAGTTTTGATCAATTGGATAGACGTATCTCTCAATCAACCGTAATCCTCTCATAGGGGTGGTCTTATCCTAGTACTAGTAGAAAACCTATTCCACCCGTAATTTATAAGTTTTCCATGAGATCGGGCCAACAAAAAAAATCTTGAAACTCCCTCGAATTGCCCAAAAGTAGCCTCGACTGGTTTCAACATTGCCTCACGAGTCTATACATGGTTTTAGCTGTTGTTTGGCTAGGAGGCCCTAGATCGGGCTGGGTCAGGTTTTCCTAACTTTTGCAAACTTGATTTTGATCATTTTCAATTGCACTTGATCTTCTGATCCATCTTTGACTCCCCGATAATATTTTGCTGTAAACATCACCCCTACAGGTTTTGTGTCCCTTCGTCTTTCAATGTATTCATGTAAAGTCTTGGGTTGGCGGTTGGTCGATACCACCACCTTTCAAAAGTGTCACTAAATACCATGGACCCGACCTTCAAAAGCCTATCCGTTCCTATTCGCTCGCTCCGGTCCCCTCTAGTCACCATAGATTAAAAAAAAAATCACGCATCACCGTGACTGCGCTCCGTGACCGGTTCCGCCGCGGCTCTCGCACGCCTCCCTATCTATCGCGCCTCCCGCCAGCCTTCCTCTCCACCGCTGTCACGCCCGCACCGCTGCCGCGTGCTCCCCCAAGACAATGCACCATCGCAACGCGCTCGCCGTGCAAGGCCGCATCACCCAATTGTTGTTGCAGCCTCCCTATCGCCAGGGGCAGCTGCTTACCGACGACCGGGGGCAGCGTAGCTGCTCACTGGGGGCCGCACAGCCACCCGCCCGCTGTCATGCTCCTTCTCCACTACGACCGCACAGCTGGCTCCCGCTGTGTCATGCTCTGCCCGCCTAGCTGCCATGTTTTGCTGAAAACGCATGTGGTAAGAGTATATTTCGAGTGTTTCAAATGTTTCAGAGATATGTTACAAGTGTTTTAGATGGATGTTGCAAAAGTAGATCGGGATGTTGCATATGTTGCAATGGTGGTACACGTATGTTGCGAAAGTCTGTTATCAATGTTTCATCTGTGTTTTCTGGACGCATGCTACAAGTGTGTTTATCTGGATGTTGCATGTATTTCACACATATGTTGCATGTGTTTTATCTGGATGTTGCGTATGTTTGCAATATTTTTCAAGGGTTTTCAATTGTTTTTTCAAATGTTTCAGAAGCATGTTTCAAGTGTTTCATCTGCCTTCAGACATATATAGCACTGTTGCATTTGGATGTTTTAAAAGCAGATCAAGTGTCACATCTCTCCTCCTCACCTTGCAGGGCATCCATACGATGCCGCGGCCGGGCCCTTCCGAATCGGAGGTTCCGCCCCCTTCCCTTCCTTTGTCGCTCAAGCGGCGCGGGCCCTACGTGGAGCGCACGAAATGGAGTGCAATGCGCGGTCCGTCCGAACACTAGCACTGCCACCATGGACAAAAAGCAGCTAGGCAAGGAACATTGCTACAGATACAACTATTTGAGGACAACTGCACTACTCAAGTTGCGTTTTAAATGCGATGGTTCAGATCACATGGATGTAAAACTCAAAATTGTATTGAAGGTTTAGATACACATATAGCTGTACTTGAGTTGTAGTCAAAGAATCTCCCACAGATAAACACGATGATTTAAAAAAAAAGAAACAGAGATAATTACTGTTACAAGCTCTAGGCTGCTTAGCGTACTGGGTGCCAAGTTTTGTCTTAAGCGCCGTAATAATTACTTTTCACCAATTCTCTATGCATGAAAACAGCAATCTCGGGTACATGCTCATGGAAACCCAGCTACTGAAACACCAAATGGTTCGCAAATGCATTGGTCATGATAACAGAAACTGTGAAATTCCCTTAGTTTCTATTTATATCGATTCTCAAAAGTATATTGATCCAACCCGTTTCCTCTCTCTTCCAACATAATGGAAAAAGAGACAGCACCAAAAAAAAGAGTACTGCTATTTTTTACACAACAAGGTGAATATGAATAGAGAAGAAACACCTATGAAACTATGAGGCTATCAGAGAAACAGCCTTTGCCATCTCTCTGTTTGGCTGGCCTTGACCATTATTGACTGGCACCGTCAGCATCTCGCAGGCACGTAGCTCTCCTCCTGGATGGTCTCCAGCGTGGGCCGCCTGGACCGCCGCCCGCCGCCGCTGAGCCGCTGCTTGAGCTCCTCGATCTCCGCCGCGGCCGCCGCGTCGTCGACGGCCATCTCCTCCAGCTTCGGTGCCCTCGGCTTGGGCGCCGCGTCCATCTCCTGGAGCCCAAGGGACGCGGCGGCGGCGGCATCGGCGGCATCCAGCACCTCGGGCGGCACGACGACGGCGGCGACCTTGGCCGTGGCGGCGGGGGACGACGCCGTCCTCATCCTCCTCCTGCTCCTCGTCGCCGCCCGCGCCTTCTCCTCGCTGGACACCACCGCGGCGGCCAGGCGCGCCACGTCGGCGGGCGCCATGGGGGCTCCCAGGCGCTTCATGGGGAGCGCGGCGTACAGCGCGCCGCGGACGAGCGCCTCGTCCGCCGGGAGCGCCTCGACCCGCCGCCCCAGGCGCAGCGCCCGCGCGTCCGCCAGGAAGTGGCCCGGCGCGTCCAGCATCAGCTCGGCCGCCGTGGCCGGGAGGGCCACCTGCCGCACCCGCCCGTCCGGGAGCACGACCCTCGCGCCGCTGCTGGCCCTCCCGGCACCGGCTGCCCCCGCCAGCGTGCACGACGCGAAGTTGCCCATGGAGGAGCTTCGAGGACGAGGAGTGTGTGAGGGAGAGGGGGGCCCGGCGGTTTGCTGCGAGATTGCGTGCGTTTGGCTGCGTTACGGTGGGCGATTTTATATAGGTGGAGTGTGTCGTCGGGGGGCCGTAGGAGAGCGGTTGCGAGCGGATGGCGGATGGTGCTCTCGCCTGCCTGGGCTTTGCTTGCGGGAACGCGCGCGATGGAAGTGTGCGGGGACGGTGACGGCGGTGGTGATGGGATGGGGATTTTTTTTATTTTTAATCTTTATTTATTTAATATTTTAATAATAATCACTCCTATTTTTTTTGTGTGCGAATCTATCGCGTCAGGCACGGTCAAATAACGTTGTCGCGTTATATGCAATGGCGCGGCGACATCCGCCACGTTAGATGGCGTTTTTGACGTGAAAAATGCTGTCACGTCACTTCCGCTGGCGTGACAGTACTGTTTTATCGCGTCACCGGGAGTGGCGTAACCAGACAAAACCGTTAAAAAATCATAACTCTTTGATACAACGTTGGATGAAGATGAAATTTATATAAAAATTGTAGATCTAAATGAGATCTACAACTTTGTAGTTTTGAGTTTTAACATTTGGAGTCATTAAGATGCTAAAAAAATAATATAATATTTCACGAGCATAATAACCGCATACTAGTACATGTCTTATTAGAAACATAATATCTTTTTTTGTATGTTGTCAAATGAGATACCTTTTACATAAAAGTTGTAGCCCTCAATGAGATCTACAACTTTATAGTTTTGAGTTTTAACATTTGGAGTCGATAAGATGCTCAAAAAAATAATATAAAATTTCAGTAGCATAATAACCGTGTACTTGCGCTGTTTGCATTAGAAAAATAATATCGTTTTTATATCTTGTCAAATGAAGGTACATTTTATATCAAAATTAGAGCTCTTAATGAGATCTACAACTTTCATATAAAAATTATTTTTATTTGACATCAAATAAGAAATATTCGATTTTTCTAAAAGATAAGCTTTGATACATAATTAATATGCTTCTAAAACTTTATATTAGTTATTAGAGTAACTCATAGGTCTCACTAAGGGCTACAACTTTGATATAAAATGTATCTTCATTTGACACCATAAAAAAATATATTATTTTTTAAGTACGGCAAGCGCCGGTACGCGATTATTATGGTGCTGAAATTTTGTATTATTTTTTTGAGCATCTTAACTTTCTCAAACGAAAAACTCAAAACTAGAGATCTACAATTTTCATATAAAAATCATCTTCATCCGATGTCATATTGAAGAGTTATGATTTTTAAAAAATTCAGTCATGTCACGCCACTCCCAGCGACGCGACAAAACAATACTGTCACGCCACCGGGAGTGGTGCGACAAGCTTTTCCACATCGGAAACGCCATCGAACATGGCAGATACTGTCGCGCCACATGCGTTGGCACGACATCGTTGACTGGCGTGACTAAAAATGTCATATCTAAATTTTTTTGAGCGGTTATTATTAAAATATTGAATAAAAATGATTAAAAATAAAAATTCTCCCGGGATGGGACGGGCTTGTGTTGTGTTGGTGCGTGCGAGAGGGACGGACAACCAAAAAAGGTTGGAGTCGAGTCGAGGGGAAGGGGGTGCCGGTGGTGGCCAGGTGGGTGTTCATGTCGCCGTCGAGGTGGAATTGCGCGTGGGACCGACCGGCCAAGGGTGCCGCCGGGGGTCCGGAACGGTCCGGGTCAGGTTGGGCTAGTCGCTTTGGGGCTGGCACTAGAAATCCAATGGGCATGGCTGCTTCCGCCGCCGGTGGCGCGGCGACGCAGCGTGGTGGACTTCCGGAGGACGAGGTGTGTTCAGAATTGTTCCTTTTCCTTTTTCGTGTCCGCCAGCCGGTCCGGAGCGCCGATCCGGGCACCTGAAAGCTCAAAGCCTGGATGGAACCTGCTACCTGTCTATTACTCTGTAGTCACGCAAACATAGATGGACAGCTATGGCCGTTTGTATCACTTCGCCAGAGTCCAGACCAGAGACAGATGGCTTCATCAGAATTCACAATTGTTGCATATTCCTGCACATTTCATCTGGATATTTCCTATACAGCGGGTGCCTGAAATCGACCTCGAGCGTCGCTCTCCACACGCTGGCGAGAGGTTTCGAGGATGGGCTTGTTGGTTGGATGTGCTATCTGGCTACAGAAAAAAAAAGGGTTTTAGGGGAGTCGGGTGCAGGGCCAAAGTAGCGAGGCAGCGAGGTCACCACCGCCTTGCTGGCAAAGGAGGACGGCGGTTGAGCCAGAGAAGAGCGAAAGAGAGTCGAGACGGGGGCTAGACGCAGTGGTCGGGAGGTCAGCATGGACAGGATTGGTCGGCGGTAGCCAGGGCCGAGGCTGTTGCGTTAGTTGATGCTTTGTTTCATCGTTTGTTTTGAGATGAACAAACACAACTGAAGGAAAATGATAACTAGCCACTATTGAATGATGGATCGACGGTTTAAAATATCACATGATGGAAAATGATATTATAGCATTGTTTAATAGAGCGGTTAGAAAAGGCACTTCTCTGAGAAGCTACACAAATAAAGAAAAAGCGAGGTTAAAATAAGTTGGTATGGCCTTGTGCGTTTTAGTGCAAATGGGTGCGAAACGTGGCTAGAAGAAAACTGAAAAAAGTATATCGTTTGCTCTTAGTTTCAACTTATTTTTGGTCATAAACAATGTATAAGTTATACTAAACATGACTTGTAGGCGCCTGAAAGATAGCAATTCCTTATATTCCTAGCATTCTTTCATTTCGCAATCATATCGGGTGTTTATTTCTAACCGAAATACTCAATCCATCCCAAATTGTAACACGTTTGACTTTTTTGACACCAAGTTTGACCACTCGTCTTATTCAAAAATTTGTGTAAAATATTACTTCTTTCGTCGTGGTTTGGTTTATTAATAAAAATTCTTCAAGAATGACTTAAATTTGACTATATTTGCACAATTTTTTTGAATAAGACGAGTGGTCAAACTTGGGGTAAAAAAAATCAAACGTCTTACAATTTGAGATGGAGGGAGTACTATCTAATCTCATGGAGACTCGCCTTACGCGATAGATTTGGGCGAACTGACGGTGGACCCGGAGTCCCTTCCACTTCCACGGTTGAGTAAGTCAGTTTTGAGTAAGGCCATGTTTAGTTCCCAAAAATTTTCACCTCAGAGTATCACATCGAATCTTGCGGCACATGCATGGAGTACTAAATGTAGACGAAAAACAAAATTAATTGCACAGTTGGGTGAGAAATCGCGAGACGAAACTTTCGAACCTAATTAGTCCATAATTAGACACTAATTATCAAATACAAACGAAAGTGCTACACTAGCAAAAAAAAAAAAAAATCGCCATCTAAACGCGCCCTAAGCAGCACGCACGAGCTGGCCATTCATCTCGTCTTTCCCATTCACTGCCGCGGGTACGTGCCAGGACTCCATGTTTCCCTTCACATTCCAAGCAAAGCTAGCTTGCACGTTATGTAAATGGAAAAGGGCACACTGACAGTGACAGTCAAGTGTGAAACCAGCTACGAGCTCGAGGATGCCCAACTGCATGCGGCTCGCATGACTCGACTCGCGAATAGCATCTTGACTCGGCTCCTGCCCCCTGCGCATCGGAGCATCTGAACATGACGTGATCCAACTGCAATGTGACGAGAATGTCACGGGCGAAGCTGCCGCGAAGCTGCGCGCGCGGGCTCGCACCTCGCTGTGCGTCATCAGTTGCCGGCGGCAAGTTGCGACTTGCAAGGAGCTGCTAGCGAATAAACCGGGCCGAGCACATGAGCGGGCATAACTGCGCGCGTCTGAATTATGCGCCTGTGCGATGCGATTGCGCGTGTGGACTTCACGGGGGCCACCAGCGCCCCCCGGCGTGGCTGAGTTGTGCCTCTCATGGGGTGCGCACCGCGCGCGGTGTGCACGGCGGTCGGCCGGTGCGTGCGGTTCGCTCCGGCATCCGGACCCAGCCGGGCAGCCGGGCACCGTCGTGCCGTCGTCACTCGTCAACAGGACATCTTCCTAGTTCCAACTTGACTACTTGAGGCTGTTGGGTGGTTTCCCCTTGACCCGAAGCGACTTGCACAAGAATTGCATTAGCTCGTCGACATTGGGTTATTACCGAAAGATACAGCGCACTAATGACTGGCCACTCATCTGTCATCTTCATCACTGCTCACTACTCACCACTGCTAGTGTTCGAGTTGGGGAGTCAACAGACAATGGGTGTAGCCATCGCTCATCTGTTGCGTAATTGCGTTATGACACGGCGGTGGGCAATATTTGGGCCGGGCAAATCAGGGGGACACAATGGCTAGCAAGTCCCTGATGGCCAGCGCACCCGGTAACGACCAGTGATCCAGTGGGCTCATGGTCATTGGTGGGTGTCATGGTTTGGTAGTTCCACAAGGTGCTGCGCTGCCCAACCGTCAAATCACAACTACTGTACTAATCTGTGGAAAGTAGTTTGACACCGAGCTCGTTCGTGCATGGGTAGCTATACGGAAGCATAGGTCAATGACATTATAATTTTGTAATAAACAATAATAACGATAACAGGTCATCGACGATGCAGCCAGATGAAGCTATACAACTTAGGATACGGTGCACAAGCTCAAGTCTAAAAACTCCCTTTACTAGCTAGCTGTAGCAAATATGGCTATGAATCAGAATAGTACTGCAAAGTACGAACGTGGCCGACTACTATCGAGTATCGACCAACAGGTAACATTGGCCTCTGACGAGAAATCAGTCAGTTCAGCTTTGAACTACGCAATAACTGGGTTTTAGGACACCTGGGCGAAGGTGAATGACCGAGTTAAGCCACTTGCCTGGCCAGGTAAACAGCGAGCCGCCTCTCTTCGAACGAGTACTCGATGTCCCCTGGCAGTGCTGGCGACTCTGCCTTCTGGAAAAGGGTTGCAGGAGTGGCTATGACCTTGTTAGCCACAGCTGGTGTCACCGCCATCTGCATAGGAGCCGTAATTGTCGCTGGCGTTTTTGGATTGAGTGCTGCAAATGTCTTGGGAGTTTTGTTCTCTTCCTCTGTGTCATTGGAGACGGGCCGCGCAGGAATAGATGAGACATTGTTTCCTGGCATGATCTGGGCAAAAGGCTTGCGAGGTGTTTCTGCCTCTCGCAGAGTGCTTGCGTTGAAAGATAACTTCTTGACGGGAAGACCCGCAATGTCCAAGCCTCTACTACCTGAAAGTGCTAGGTTCGATCAGAATTGTATGCCAGTCAAAGGAAGTTTACTAGGAGATGAATGGAGAAGAAATTGCAGTAGATGAATGGAAAAGGAAGCTTACTGGGAGATAACGCGCCCAAATCTTCAGCCTTCTTGGCAGCACGAGCTGTCTTGGAGTGCATTATGTCTGTTTTGGGGGCTTGCGTTGTGGTTCCACCAAGTGACAGTCTTCGGTTCGCACCACCCATGGAGTGCCTAGGCGCCTTCTTCGTGCTTTGTGGCTTAGATGGACTTGGTTTTGATCCATACAGCGCTTCCTGCTCAGCTTTGAGTTGATCCTGGATCTTCTTCTGATCCTGCAAATCAGAACAAGGTATTACAACATATTAACTCCAGTAAAAACTGAAGGTTTATGCAATGTAGAAATATTTTGCACTGAAATATACCCTTTGCCTCTTCTTCTCCAGCTCCTTCTCCTGGCGAACGATCATGTACTCTTCAAGCATTGACAGAAGGCGGACCTGAAAAATATTGCATGAAATACATTTTAGCAAAATATTAAATATCCAAAGGAATTAAACATCCAAGAAAAAAGTACGGGAATAAGAAAACTTACACCATCATATGTGAACTCCTTTCCTCTTTCTGTCTCCCAAGCTACAATTTTTGTGGTCAAAACATCTACCAGTCCTGCTTCAGGCATGGCAATGGTAAATTGGTTGCAACTATGATAGAATAACATTCTATCAACAGAACATAATCAGTGAAAGCTCTAATAGAAATCCAATACAGCAATATTACCTGGGATCTTGTTAACCAAAATACGAGCTTTCTCAGCCCTTTTGAGTGTCAAGTGGGCCCCCCTCCCGGCATTATAACGATTGCCATCCTATACATGTCATGTTCAGGGAACTATTACTATCCAGCAAACAAAAACATAACAGAGATTTGCAGATAAAGTTGACCAGCATTGCTACTTTGTTGTAATCTTCCAGCCAAGCTTCCTCCTCACATGCATTCAGCCATCTTTCAACCTTCTCGAGGATATCCTTCCGGCTAAAAGCTTCCTCTTTCACTGTGGCAATGTGAGCCTCAATTTGTTCCAGCACCAGTGCAGGATCAACAGCTCCTGTAGGAAAAGGCAAAGGTGGATAAGATCGTTCTCATGTTCCAATATTTTTCAGGTCTGCAATACATTTTAATGGACACAAGTTAACAACCCAGGATATGATCCTTACCTGCCTCAACAGCCTCCTCGCTAAATTCGGCTACATAACCCTCCTCGCCAATCAAATGAGCACGTCTCCTATGCTCTTCCAATTCTGTCTTCTTTTTCAGAACAAGGTCTTTCATCTTGCTCGCTTTAAGTTGTTCAAGCCTTAAAACTTCAGATTCCACCTACATTTTAGATCAAGATATAATCTCAGAACATTCCTAGCTCAAACAAAGAAAAAACATAGCAACAGTGGCATGAGCAATATCTAAAGAACAATGAACTCACATAGCTGAGGAAGTCAATAGAGAGGGTGTTAGGCTCAGTTATTTCATGTTCTGAAGCAGCAATATTGCAGGTTACATTCTGGAACATCTGCTGCTCTTCAAGTGGTGTATCCATGAGATTCCAAAGTTCAAGCATGCTAGATGCCAAATCTTGAAGCTGTGACATTCAGAATTTCATATTAACAATGTTAAAGGCACTGAATTATTGAAAATTGTTGAGCGTGGCATGTGAACGATCGAAATTTGACACTAGTGAATGCTCTGAATAATAATAAAAAAATTACGGTTGACTGCACTGAATGATTGAAATTTCTGAAGTGATATAAAGAGTGCTAACCTTTTGCATCCTCTGGACTTTCAATTCACGCAATCTGTTTACAGCTGATGCAAGACTCTCAATTGTACTGTTGCTTAGGTTCTTTGATCCATCAGTCTCACACAGGCTAGGGTGCACCTCATGTACTGTTTGTTTGAAGTCTACACCAAGCACCTCGCATAACGAATGCAAAGTGTTAAGATGTTCCATCACTTGTTTCAGCCGATCACTCTGTCAAAAACAGGCACAAACAATGAGATTTTTAGACTTGCATGAGCAGTGAAGGAAAATAATAGACATGGGGAGTAATACTCATTGGACAAATAAAGCAGATTGGAACAAGTGATGCTGACCTTCTCCTTCTGAAGGGATTGTAGCTCTTTCGTTAGCTCCTCCAGCTTTCGCAATGACAGATCAGACTGATCCACAGGAATTCTAAAGGGTGCAAAATCTGCAGGCCTGATTTCAGATACAACCTTCTTAATTTGCTCTATGACATCAACAAATTGGTCCCATCTTTCAACTTTCTTCTTTCTCATCTCCTCCAAGTATGGGACAATCGCATTCAATTCCTCCCTCAAACCATGTAACTTCTGATTTGACTGTCATTTAAAAAGAAAACAAATTATTGATGGAGTCACTACTGAAATATTCAGTTTTCGTAGCAGAATGCATGCAGTTGCTGACTTCAATATGGGACAATTTCATTCTGCTACTCCCTTAAACCATTCACGTTGTTATTCTACTATAACATTTTTCATCAAAAAAAGGTAAGAATTACCAATACAGCCACTACAGTTATTTTTGTCAATATAGCAGAGTACGAGTGACCTGCACATCTAGCCAATAGCTATCACACTATCACAGCCCTAAAGTTGCAGTGGCAGTAAAAGAGATCATGAGAGAAAATTATGTAGACTATCCTTCTGCAGTACAGCAGTAGTACTCAAATGTTATTTGTTTCTTTCATGGTATATGGTACTTCAAAGCACAGAAACTAACCTGTCTAACATGTATCGGTGGTTCGCCCATGGCCGAGCAGATGCCAGCGAGTTCGGCCTCTGCCTCCGCAATGGCCTGCCGCAACTGGGCCCTGCACCGATTGGCCTGATCGACCTTCCTCCTGTAGACGTCGAGGCACTCCTGCTCGAGCTCCAGCAGCATCCGGTCCCTCGCCATGTCGGGCTCACCGACCTCATCCCAAATCACCTGACACAACCCAGGAAAAAAATATCTGAATTCATCGCGCACCGGGCGCACCGAACGGCGAAACCAACAAAAAGGCCGGGGAAAAACTGTGGAATTAGAGAGAGAGAGAGAGAGAGAGAGAGAGAGGACTTACGTTGAGCTCCAACAGGAGTGAATCGCACGTCGTCGATATCTGCTGCAGCTGGTCCTTCACAGCGCTACTCATAGCGAGAGGGGGACACCGCAGCAGCACCCTGCAGACGCGATTCTACAGATCAAACGCAGCTTCGCGGCAACACACACATATCCCCACGCGCGCACCACGCGCCCCAAAGCAACGGTTCCACCGCGCTGAACAGGAAGATGAGACAACACCCCACGCCCCTCTCGAAACCTAGGGTTTCCCCTCAGCGGAGGCTGCACGCTACGCCGCGGGCGACCGGATCCAATCCCTGGGCGAATCGCAAGTAGGATACTCACCTCTTCACAACCAGGCGCAGCCTCGTCGAGCGGGCGGGGCTGGGCGGGGCGGGGACGGGCGGCGGACTGTCGCCGGGAGGAGATAGTGCGATCAGGTGCCTCAGGGGCGAGAGAGTGGATGGGGGATGAGAGGAGAGGAAGGAGGCGTAGAGTGGTTTGAAATGTTTTGAAATAGGGTAGGGGGGGAGTCGGGAGAGGCAAGAATGGCGGAGAAGATTTGGGGTTTGGAAATCCGTTGGTTGGTTCAGGACGGGGCGGCAGAGAGCCGTTAGCGGCCATCTTTTAATTGGGCCGGATCCGGAAGAATCCCATCCTGAGCCCTCCGTTTTGAATTCAACGGCCCAGATGGCACATTGACTCGTATGAGGGCAGGTTGCCAAGTGGATGCATCATACAGGGTGCTGACGGGTGGGGTCAGCATGTCGGTGCCTGTGTGTCAGAAGCGGAGTAAGCGAACTTTCTTTATAATAATAACTTTCGAGGTATAAAAGAACACTGTTGCATTTGCATAGCATTCTGAAGAGGTTTATGATTACATATCGTGGTTAACGTTGAGATCCGATTGTGTGATGCAAACACAAAAAGGATAAAAAAAATTAACATACTAAAGGGAAAAGATCATTGAGATGAAAATGAAATTTTACAAATTGCTAAAAAAATTATCAAATCGACTTCACAGAGCATGATTTACTTCAAATTGACACGAGAATCAAACACACAGGGCAAACCTTGTAAGTAATAAATCAAGAGAAAGGGAAACTGTGACTTCTTATTCAATTACATTTTAGAAGCGAAATAATTTGAAGAAAAAAAATCTCCTTAACCCCTTAACCTATTGATAGTTGTCTACTTCATCCCCTCACCTATAAAATCATATGTTCTACCCCTTAAACTATTGAAAACTATCTAAATAACCCTAGAAGACGATTTTGAAAGCGGTTTTTGCTGATGTGGCATATTAAAAAGTATATACATAACCCCTAACATATTAAGGATTGACTATATACCTCCTCAACTATAAAACACTCTTAACGCATCTAATAATGTTCAAATTACCTCCTGGATGGTCTTGTAGGACCATTTGGACACCATATCCTACCACATTGACCTAAGCACCCATGTTTGCACGCAAGCTCATCAGCTTCCTCTCTCTCCCTACTCTTTTTAGGCTTGTGTCGCCACCCAATGAGCACCGCAATGTCTCTTGCTCCACCTCATGGCACTCCTCGAGGGCATTGAGCTCATACACTACGTCTGTGCCCTTGTCACCCGGCCCCTCCCACATCTGGCGAGGCCCAGTCCTTGGCTATGGCAACTGGCCATCCCATTGATGTGCACCGTACGATCCAGTGGTGGTTGTGCGACACATTGGTAAATCGCCTGGTGAAATCCAACTTGACTTGGTGACAAGTTGCCTAGTTAACTCTAGTGCGATGTATGATCTGATGGAGACTAAGTGACTCCCTAACAAATCGTTGGGTGGGCCAAGCTTGACTTCTGATAAGTTGGCCCAGTCTCGGTATTGTGGTGTATGATTCGATGGAGACTCTGTGACCCCCTTGAATATTTTGGTATGTTCCTTCCTAACTGTCGGGAAAACATGTCAGCACAGAGGCACCATATGATCCGGTGCAAGTGGAGGAGACCGACGGATCATCTAGTGGTGTTTTTGTCTTCCAACTTTTTCCAACAACTAGCAGCTCCTTCAACCTCTATATAAGTGCCTCCCCTGGCTCATTTTGAGCTGCTCTTTGACCCTGTTGTTGCCAACACTTGAGAGGATGGTGTAGCTATTGTAGAGCCATCCAAGCCAAGAAGTGAGAATTGAGAGTTATCCTTGACTGCCACCGGTATTTTTGCTTGGATCTCTTTGGGTTGAAGTTGAATACTTATTACTCTCGGTGATTGCCATCACCTAGACAGCTCGGTGGATGACTTGGTGACCTTCCCGGCTGGAGTTCTTGTTGAGAAGGGGTACTCACTAGAGTGGAGCTTAACCAAGTTTTGATCACTCTTCGGTGCTCCAATGTAGACTAGGGGATTGTAGCAACAACTTGATACTAAGGGAAACTCAGGTTGTCTCTTTGCCTCTCTTTTGTTCTTGCATTACTTCCTGTTTAAGCTCTTGCTTTGCTTGTTTGACACTAGGTTTGCTTGTTAGTGTGCTTAGCATATGTTTACTTCTTACACAAAGACTTTTATCTTAGGCCCTCTTTGGCAATGGCTCGAAAGGCTTTAGCTTCTTGTACCGCGACTACTTTAGATGTACTCTGTGGCAAGAGCTACTTTTCTTTCTCTTCAATCCAAAATGAACTGACAATCAGGAGAAGCCAGTAAAGCCACGAGGAGAGGCTTCACTAGCTTCTACTACAGTATCACAACGGTGCAAAAGTTGAAGCCCCCGCAAATCCACCAAAGAGGGTCTTTGTTCATGAGATTCCCATTAGTTATTTATCTTGCAGGATGTATCAAACATTGTGTGAAGCCCTTGATAATAAATTTAGATGTTCCTTTATATACCTTGCTATGTAATTGGCTAGCTTCATGTCCTTAAGGACTGCTTAGAGCGCAAAGACATTATCATGCGACTCTTCTCTTCCCACGTGGCACGAAGTGAGATAGGCCATACAGTCGTTTGGAAGCAACAAGGTCCGTCCACTCCCTGTCCCTTAACCAAACACATAAAAAATGCAATCGACCATCTCATTCTCATCCCTAGCGACAAGGTCTGCATATTCCTTGTCCCTTATCCAAACACATCAAAAATGCAATCGACCCATCTCATTCTCATCCCTTATCATCCCATGAACCAAACACATTCCATCCCTTCGTCCCATGAACCAAACACAACTCATCCCTTATCATCCCATGAACCAAACACTGGAGTTAAAAACAGATCACAAAAAAGGGACTGCACAGATAACAAACTGTGGAATCAGCTCAGAAAAAAATTGAACAGGTGATCTCATAACAGCTATTAACATGCGAGACTAGAGTATTTCTTTGAGAATTAACAAGTTTATAGTTTTGCCGTCATCAAAAAGGATAATTCTTCCTCAAAGGGCAGTAAGCCAAATGAAAATGTCACTGTGAATCCTTATTAGGGAAAGGGGGGGGGGGGAACGGAGGAAACACATCCATAACACAGAATAAAGGGAACAACATGTTGACCTCCAAAAGTTAAATTTTGCATTGCCTGTGGAGACTGTTTATCATGCAGATTCCTTGGCAATCTTCTCTGCCTTGGCGATGACCTCCTCTATTCCTCCAACCATGTAGAATGACTGTTCTGGAAGGTCATCATACTTGCCATCCAAAACACCCTATCCGATACGAAGGTTCAAATAGTCAACACTAAGCGTTAAAGCACAAAAATGGGTGCTGACATTTGCATTCCAGTAATGAGACAAAAATACTCTTACATACACATGATAAGTATTCCTATTAAGATGATAAGATCACTTAAAGCAGCTAGTAGAATTTGCAAGGCATTTTTTAAGTGTGTACATAATTAGTCATATCATATCATAACAAACCATCATGTACATAATTAGTCATATCATATCATAACAAACCATCATGTGAAACTTGTGTTTGCTTTCTATATAAGCAGGTTTACCTTCATAAAAAAATCATAACTGGACACTTTTTTTTTTTTTGCCCCCGTTAATGTTCAGAATAAAGTACTCATGTGTATACATCACTTTGGACATGGGACAGTCTACAAGAGGTAACTTTTACTAACTCCTGCAACAATATGTTGTTGAAAACTATGATAAAACACAACAACGAAAAACTTCATATGACAAGCCAAATGTCCATTAGCCAACCTGTGGTTCATGTTAGAAGTAAAATCAAGAAAAAAACTACCATTATCAAAAACAAAAATAAAACTACTATACTTTTGTCAAAAGACGCATTTCCATAGACTCTAGTACCTAATGACCACATCAAATAAATCATTAAATTTGACAAAACTTAATCATGCATTGAGTACGAAGCTGCAAGGCAAAGAACACCAACTGGATTGTTTAGCCAAACAATGATAATTGGAGGGGGAGAAACTGTTGTAATAGTACAGTTCACAATGGGCCAGGAGATAGGTTACAGTCATGACATATACCTGGAAACTTTTGACACTCTCCTTCAGCTCAACATACTTTCCAGGTGCACCCGTGAAAACTTCAGCAACATGGAAAGGCTGGCTAAGGAACCGCTGAATCTTCCTAGCACGAGCGACCGTCAACTTGTCATCTTCGCTGAGCTCATCCATTCCCAGAATGGCAATAATATCTTGCAGATTCTTGTAATTCTGAAGAACCTTCTGAACACCACGAGCAGTATTGTAGTGCTCCTCACCCAGAACATGTGGGGACAACATTCTGGATGTGGAGTCGAGAGGATCGACGGCAGGATAAATACCAAGCTCAGAAATCTGCAAAGAGACAACGCTAACATCATACTCATAATAGCAACAGTATCAATCCGCAGAAATTCTAACTAGACATGAGGCAGGAATACCTGACGTGACAACACAGTAGTAGCATCAAGATGGGCAAAGGTGGTTGCAGGAGCAGGATCTGTCAAGTCATCAGCAGGCACATAAATAGCTTGAACAGATGTAATAGAACCCTTCTTTGTGGTGGTAATCCGCTCCTGCAGTCCTCCAAGATCAGTAGCAAGGGTGGGTTGGTATCCCACAGCAGATGGAATACGCCCAAGCAGAGCAGACACCTCAGAGTTCGCCTGACAGATAGTGGATACCAAATGTACAAGTTTTCAGCTTTAATGTATGCAGAATCAAGGCAGAAAATACATATGAGACTGATTGACTAATGTCATCTGCATATCCAATAACAAGAATACCATTGCAGGTACTTTCTGGACATAAAACAGGACGTGAATCTACCTGGGTGAAACGGAAAATGTTATCGATGAAGAGAAGCACGTCCTGTCCTTCAGCATCACGGAAATGCTCAGCAACAGTCAAACCAGTCAGCCCAACACGAGCACGAGCACCAGGAGGCTCATTCATTTGACCGTAGACAAGAGCGCACTTGCTCTCACTCTGCCGCAAAGTACAATGTAAGGAAAACTCGCCACAGATATGAGACCCAACAACACATTCAAAATCCTGATCATTACCTGCTTATCACCAAGCTTAATGACACCACTCTCAATCATTTCTCTGTACAAGTCATTACCCTCGCGAGTACGTTCTCCAACACCAGCAAAGACAGAGAAACCACCTAGATGAAGAAATAAAATAAATAAGCCAACATAAACACATGACAATTTCGCTGCATGCCCATCCAGCTCTGTAAAAAAACAAACCATGGGCCTTGGCAACGTTGTTAATCAGCTCCATGATAAGGACAGTTTTTCCCACCCCTGCACCACCAAAGAGACCAATTTTACCACCTCTTTGGTAAGGTGCAAGAAGATCCACGACCTGATAGAAGTAGAAGCCTTGAATTAAACTATGCACAATAAGCCTTGAAAGATGAAAAGAACCTAGCAAACTAGACAGGCACACACTTCCAAAGAGGCGCACCTTGATTCCAGTAACAAGAATTTGCTGCTCTGTAGCTTGCTCGATGAAGGCTGGGGCTTCACGATGGATAGGGAGGAAGTGATTTGTTGCTAAAAGCAAGGAGCAATCAACAAAACAAGAATATAAGCATGACTTTTAGTAGTGTATACGTAAATGTTAAAAGTAAATCAATGTCATGAAGACTAACTTATATCTCCCTTCTCATCAATAGGCTCACCGATAACATTCATAATGCGTCCAAGCGTTGCCCTACCAACAGGGACCTAGAACCAGATATACAAGTCACAAATGCAAAAGCACAACTGAGACAATGTTTGGAAGATGGTGTAGCACAGTAATTAAGAGACTAGCAACAACTAGGTTCAGATACTGTAAACATCTAGAGCCTACAGACCCAATAGATAGGTACAAAGCTTATATACGGCAGCTGTAACAAGTCATTTCATGTGTGTCAATGACTTAGTATGAGTTTAGTAGCTAAATCATAGAACACATAATAAGCAAGCCACCAAAGTTGCATGTGCCCATGATAAGCTGAGTAGATGACAAAAAGAGATGGGAAAAACTTTCAAAGATTTCCAAATGTTTATACTTTATTATGGCTATAAGAAGTTTCCTTAGTAACTTTATCAAACTAACGAATGGTAAATAATCTTGACTCGTGGTGAGACTATTAGTAGATAAAAACGTACATGGAATGGATCGGCATTTTTGAATTTAACTAAACCATGATGATAATGCTACAGGCATATGGATTATCAACCAAATCAATACAGCATACTATCGATAAAAACAGTCGTAGATCTACAAAGCACTGACTGGACAATAGATGGATCCGTACGTCTACATCAAACATAAAACCCACCGGGTTCGCCAACTCGTCAGATAGACATCCGAATATATCAGCTCAAAACACAAAAAAGGAACGGGAAATGAGGAAATGGGCTTACAGTGATGGGAGAGCCGGTGTTGAGAACACGCTGGCCGCGGACGAGCCCCTCAGTTCCGTCCATGGCGATGGTGCGGACCATTTTCTCCCCGAGATGCTGCGCCACCTCGAGCACGAGGCGAATGTTGTTGTCGAGCACCTCGAGCGCCGTCAGGATCGGGGGCAGCCCCTCGTCGAAGCGCACGTCCACGACGGCGCCGATGACCTGGCACACCTGGCCGATGGCGCCGGCGCCGGTGAACTCATCGGTGATCTTGCTGCCGCCGGTTTTCTTGCCGGTGGAAGGAGGCGGCGGAGCGGGCGCGGCCTGGGCCGCCGCGGAGGAGGCGTAGGCGGCTGCGCGGTTGAGTATGAAGCCCGTGGGGGACGGGCGGTGGTGGAGCGGCGCGCGCGGGCGCGGGGACGGTGAGGCGGAGCGGAGGCGAGAGGCGGAGCGGAGGATGGACGAGAGGGCCCGGCGCGTGGCCATGGCCGGCGGCGAGGGGTCCGGATCTAGGTTTTCCTCAGAATGGTGTCGGTGGGAGTGGCGGCTCCACTCTGCGGGGAAGGGTGGTAGGGGTTTGGGGATTGGGGATGGGGGTTGGGGGTGGGGAATACGGAGGAGGGTGGGGAGGGGAGGGATTCGCGGCTGGACCTGGTCCTCACTGGACCGAGAAGAGTGGAGCGTGCTTGCTGCTGATCTGTCAGTTTTGCGTGACCTGGGGGCGCGTTTGGTTTTAGGCTATCCGTACTCGTCGATCTCTATTTTCATACTTAAAAGGAATATTTTATCTTAGTCATTGAGATCCTCTACTCTATATTTATTTTTTTCACACTCATGTTATCTCTATTCCATATTCTATACCCACTATTCCATATTTTATTCCCCTCCCTCCCTCCCCCCCTCTCTCTCACCAACTCTCTCTCTCTCTGCTACCGTGTTTAGCGTCTTTGTCAGGTGGCGTCTGACTGAAAGTAGCAATGTGGGCAGGCGACGCGTCTTTGCAGAGTCGTTGCAGCAAAGACAGTCTGAAAGAGCACGCGGTACACCACCGCGTGCTGCAGGGCTGTTTAGCGGTGCTCGGTGCGGATAGCCTTACAAAGTAGCTCCAATCTGATACCTTAAACTATCTCCGTCGAAACATGTATTTGTTTCGTTCCAAATTACTAGATGTTATATTTTTTAGACATAAAGTATATCTAGTTATATAGAAAATAATGTATCTCGAAAATTAAAACATCTTACAATTTAGAATGGAGGAAGTAGAAATTTGTGCAAGTCAAACTAACTTTGATTTTAATCAAATTTATCATAATTAATTTTAATATTTATGTCTCTAACTGTTTTTTATTATAAAAATATATTTAATGATTAATTTAATGGTAATTATCTTGTATCATATAAAAATATTAATACTTTTTATATAATTCTGGTCAAACCTTAGCAACGTGTTTGGTTCACGGAACGGATCGACGTGGAATCATCTTAAACTGTATCCGAGCCCACTCATGGCGTTTGGTTCCCATCACGGGTCCAACCCGTCCGTCATCAAGTCATCCGCTCCGCATGCAGAAAACACAGCACCGAGTCGCTCCCTCAAAATGGTCGGATGAACTCATTTCGCAGCGTCCTCCACAAACCAAATAGGAGCAAATCACCGCCTGATACTACCAGTAGTGGTGCCATGCCTGATCAGTCAATGTTGCACATGATTATTCCCCAATCCAAACACGCTATAAATCGTTTGACTCCTCGAATCGAAAAGTGATAATTACATTCTTTTTGTAGATGAAAAGAGAACATGTTAGGATTTAAGAAACTACGAGGATGTTATTAGCGCCCACGATGAGATGTAATGTAGGTGAGGGAAAGGAAGTGACATGAAACCCATGGTGAAATGTTTGGAGTTAGATTTGGAGAGATCATCTTGTGTACTATGCTTTTAAATGACGTGATAAAGTATGAGCTGGTTTGCTAGCTTAACCATTGGATCATTGGAGGTGTCCTAAGTACACTTGCCGCCTCACCAGCATGGGTTCAAAGAAAACTCATTAGTCTGAGCGAACGAAAATGTCTCTAGTTTTGGTAAGGATTTTGCTTGCTACTAATAAGCTTACTTGTCAACCAAGCGATCAACTATCCTATAGTTTCTCACCCGGCAAGGCAAGGCGAGGCGAGGTTTGGTCGAGGATCCAAACACATCCTCTCATGTGCTCTCTCCAAAGTAAATATTGAATGTAAGGCATCTAGCAACACATAGACATGAAACCTCAGTTTCTAAATTGGTTTACGGATATTCTCAAATAATATTGATCATCTCATGATGATTTTTAGCTCCCGTGGTTAAGGTTCTCTTTGGCATGATTTTTGTTGTGTCTTTTCAACTGGCTCAATTAAAAACTCTACAAAATGAGCATATACAAGATCGACTTTTAAAGTCAAACCAATATAAAAATGGTGAATCCGAAGCCGTTTTATCAAGAAGAAGAAGACGCCAAAACATGGCTTCTCATCACTTTACTGTTTTTCTAAAGAAGTCAAACTCTACCAAAAAAAACTTTAAGGATGTGTTTGGTTCAACTTTTAAAAGGCGCTTCTGCTGTCAAAAAGTAGAACGTCAACCAAATAGGTTGATCCTAAAGCTGCTTTTTTAGAAGCAACTGCTTTCACTTTTCCGTTTTTTCCAAAATGGATGGAAATAGAGACATGTGTCGCAAAAATTGTTTCACGGAGATAGGAGAAAGGATAGCTTTTATAGTTGTTTGAACCAAACAACTTATAACTTTTTCCACACCACATAACTCATATAAGCTCTTTTACATATCACAATAACTTTTTTCGAATCATGGCTTGGAGCTGAAAAAATAATTTCTCTTGATTCACTCTCCCACGAAATCATTATATGCATAGAGTTTATCCTAGATAATCCTAATTCATGAGGAATCAATTTGATTCACTTCTTATGGAGAATCAGGAAGGGCTCTGCCAAACCTGCCATTACACACCTTCTTTCCCTTTCCATTGCCTCTCGGCGCGCGCCATCACCCCCGCGCCATGCCTTTCTCCGCCACCGCCGCCGGCGCCTCCAAACCCTAAACCCGCCGCCGCAATCAATGGCGTCCCTCGTCTCCTCCCCCGAAGATTCCAAATCGCTGTCCGTCACCACCTCATCGCTCTTCCTCTCCTCCATCGCCTCGCTCCCCTCTTCCCACGCCTTATCCATCCCCACCTCCGCCTCCACGCCTCTCCCGCCCGTCCCGACCTCTGTGCCTCCCGCAGCGCTCATCCCGGGCTCCCGCTTCCTCATCCACGCCTTCCGCCATGCCGGGGACTTCTCTGTCGCTTACTTTCTCTCGCACTTCCACTCCGACCACTACAGTGGCCTCGGCCCTTCCTGGCGCCGCGGCCTTGTCTTCTGCTCCGCGCCAACCGCACGCCTCGTCTCATCCGTGCTCTCTGTCCCGCCTCAGCTTGTCGTCTCCCTCGATGTCGGTGTCCGTATCAGCGTTGATGGGTGGAGCGTCACCGCCGTGGACGCCAATCACTGCCCCGGCGCCGTCCAGTTCCTATTCACCTCCCCTGGGCCGAGCGCCGAGAGGTATGTGCACACCGGTGACTTCCGTTACACAGAGTCTATGACGCGCGATGCTAACCTGCTGGAGTTCGTCCGTGCTGATGCGGTGTTTCTGGACACCACATACTGTAACCCCAAGTTTACATTCCCTTCGCAAGAGGATTCTGTGGATTACGTAGTGAATGCAATCAAACGTGTGAAAGATGAGAGTTCAGTATCAGGAGAGCGTGTGCTGTGTCTGCTGTGTCTGATCGCGACCTATGCGGTCGGCAAAGAGAGGATTTTGCTGGAGGTTGCACGGCGCTGTGGGTGTTCAATCCATGTGGACAGTAGGAAGATGAAAAATTTGACAGTGTTGGGGTTCGGTGGGGAGAATGGCGTTTTTACTGAGGATGCAACAGGGACAGATGTGCATGTTATTGGGTGGAATATCTTAGGGGAGACTTGGCCCTACTTCCAGCCGAATTTTGTGAAGATGAAGGAGATCATGATGGAGAGAGGGTATGCGAGGGCTGTCGGGTTTGTACCAACTGGATGGATGTATGAAACCAAGAAGGAAGGTTTTGCTGTTAGGGTGAAAGATTCACTCGAGATCCATCTTGTTCCTTACAGTGAGCATTCAAGCTACAATGAGTTGCGCGACTATATTTAGTTTTTGCACCCAAAGAGGGTGATCCCTACTGTTGGCGTGGATGCTGGGAAGCTCGATAGTAAGGAGGCAGTTGCTCTGCAGAAGCATTTTGCTGGGTTGGTCGATGAGACAGCAAACAAACAGGAGTTCTTGATGGCATTCCATCGTAGGTCGATAGATGCTACTCATAGCTGCAAAGATGTGGTTGCTAAATGCTCGAGCCAGCATGATGGGGAGGATGCTGCTTTGTTACCAGCAATCACTTCTGCTTCTGAACAACAGGGTACTCTGAGGGAGAATATTACGCAGGAAATGATTAAAGAACTATCAGATTTCCTACCCTCGTGGGTCAGCCAGGAACAGATCACGGACCTGCTGATGAGTTCAGGTGGTGATGTTGTTAAAGCAGCATCTGATTTTTTTGAGCGGGAAAGAGATTTCTTTGAAGAAGCAAATGTTTCTTGTAATGACACACCCAAGTCAGAGAAAAACCATTCTTCTGATCAGGGGTCTTCTGCTGATGTAAGTAGTCAGCAAGAATCTCCTTTATTTTCGCAGAAGCCAGTGGAATACTCTGCAAAGCTGGTAAATTTGTCTCCTATGAGAATGAAACTAAATACTCCCAAAAAGGTAAATAAGAGGGGTTCCAGCACTACAAACAAGCCAAAAAAGAAAGGACGATTAACTTCCTCAACAGAATCTGGTGGGCGCAAGCAGTCCACAATTACAAATTATTTCATTAGAGCTACAGAAGCCACAGAAGCTGCTTTTAAAAGGGTAAGGACTGAAAAAGTAACCGTGGAGGCACATCAAAATAATGTGGAAAATGGTGATCAGTTAGCTGATACTGCAAAAACACAAGATCAGAGTTTAGACCAGCTTCTCCAGATTGTAGATGGTTAGCATGTCTAGAGAATATGCAGTTTCTTTGCTTGAGAAGGCAAATGGAGATGTGGCGGTAGCAGTTGACATATTCTACAGTTCAAGTGAGAGTAACAATGTAATTGGCGTTGATAAGAATATTGTGCTGCAGAATGCACAAAGTGAAACTGTAGATAAATGTAGTAAAACAGACATGGCTAGTGATTCTTCTCAGGCTACTCCAAAGATGTCAAACTTACATGTAGGAACTTATTTAGCACATGCAGATTCTGCCAATACATCACTGCCAATTGAAAAGTATCTACCTATTGAGCATGGTTAGCTGCTTATACCTGATATTCTTTAGCATCTTATTTAATAGTCGGTCATGCCATATGTATCTGCATTTCTGCAGCTTGCTGGACAGCAGGACAGCCTGCACCATACTTGCATTTGGCTCGCACATTTGATTTAGTTGAAAAGGAAAAAGGAAAGATCAAAACTGCCCCGTAGCCGAATGTACGCGACCTTAGATATCCATATAACTCTACCACGGCTTCTCAGGGGTTAGAAAACGCACTAATCTCGGGAGGATACCAAATCGTCCCATCGCGTAATCTCGGATGATAACAAATCATCCCATCATAATAGTGCCGGTGATACCAAATCATCTAAAAATAATAATATGGGCTCGAACACGGTCAAATCTCAAGGGGCTTAACGTGAAGGATCACATAGCATCCACGTCAACCGGGCCACGGAAGATCACATAGCATCCGTGCCTTCTTCTGATATTCCGCTGCCAACACCGGTCTCCTAGTAGAAATTATACTTCTATCTAACGGGGTGTGAGATAAGTCTACCCATATTAGACATGTGGCTGTACGTAATATCTCACTAGGCGAGAGGGACTACGAACCGGTTCTTATGTGGCCGAGGTGAGTATCTCCCACAGGAACCCTCATCAGGCGATCCTGCAAAGGTAATCTATCCCACATAAATTACCTCCACTCGCCCCTTGTCGGGGTTTAGTTTAGGTTTACCAATTTTAGGGTTCACAATTATTATCCATAAGTTCATTTATATCATGGAGCTCATAACATAACAAAATAACCATTTATCATAATTATTAATCGCATTATAACAATCAAGCTCATATTCTGGATAATAATTATTCAATAAGCAATTCATTTATTTAGTAGCAAATAAGCAAGGTGGAAGGGGGATGGGGGAGCTAGGATTTGCCTTCATTGTTGTCTCTTTCCGGCACGTCTACGTAGTCCGGGTCCTCGTTCTCTCGGTAGTCACCGTCGTCTGTCGGGCGTAGCTATCGTATAAGACTACTGCCAAACATAAAATAAAAGGGAAAAAGCAAACATAGAATAATATGGTGGTACCAGGTAAAATAAATAGAGCTAGATTTTAGATGAATTTTAGAAGTGGTTTCATGTGAAACGGAGTTAGGATGAGGAGATATGTATTTTAGAAGTTTAACCTATAGTTAAATAACTAGGTGGAATTTTACATGTATTTTTGGGTGTATGAAAATATGTGCAAACTACATGGTTAATTTCCTTAATGCATCTAGTTTATTTATAAATTTTCTGGGAATTTTTCTAAGTAAGAAATAGATTTATAGCCCTCTCTGTACACTAACCGGTGTACCTAGCATTTTCCTTTCATGTACCCCGTGCTGTGTGCGCGCGCATGGTGCGGGGCTGGGGGTGACGGCGTTATGTCCGCAGGTCCATGTGACAGCGAGAGAGAGTGAGGGAGAGGGAGCGACGGACGGGGACGGATGGCAACGGCGACGCCGTTATTGCTCGGTCCCGCACATTAGTGAGAGAAGAAAAGGAGGGAAGGGAACGGCGATGAACGGGGGTCGCTGGTGCGGTGATGGGAACAGGGGAGGGTGGCTTGGGCTCGCCGGAGCGTGTTACACTGGCGACGCTGAGCCCCAGTGCGGATGTTGAAGTGGTGTACGGGGTTTGGGAGGTCAAGCCACAGCCGTTGGGGTGACCTAGGTGATGGGGAGTGACTGTGGTGGCGGTGGCAGCTTGCCGGAGTGAACGTGGCGGCGCCGTGCAGTGGACTCAGCCATAGAGGCCTTAATCTAATCAACCAACTACGTGAACGTGAGCGCGGGTGAGTGGCGAGTGCAGTGCGGGTGGTGTAGTGCCCAGTGTGGCCTTGCCAACGGCGGCGTGGCCGAGGCGAGCACCGCGACGCGGTATTTGTGTCGGGCGGGAGGAGGTAGACGACGATGCTGACCTGCGGGTCCCGTTTGACAGCCAGAGGAAGAGAGAGAGCGGGCGTGGCGCTAGCTGGGCTGGGGCGTGAGTTGGGCCAGCCCAGTGCAGGAGGAAAGGAAAAGGGGAGAGAGAGGGAGAGGGCTGCTACTGCGGCCCGGGAGAGGAAGAGGCCCAAGAAGCTTTTCTCTTTTCCTTTTCCTTTTTCATTTCCTAGATTTGTTATGCATTTGTTTGAATGACTTTTGAATTCGAATTCAAAAATGCAAGTATGCAAGATGTACCACCATATGTTCAGCAAACAAGCAAGCCAACATTCACACAATTTCACACAAGTAGTTTTTTTCCTAGTTATCCTACTGATACTAAATAAATTCCTAGCTAGGTTATATTTATTTGTTTTATGTAAAGTTTTAAAAAGTTTAAATTTTTAGTGTTTTTTAAACTAGGTCAAAATTCAGGGTGTTACACCGGAATAGTGGGCAGTGGCGCTAGGGTTTCTGGAGGAGGAAGGGGCGGCGCGAGAGAAACGTTAGGGAAGGGCCGGGCAGACAGAAGCAGTCACACGGAGAAAGGAGAAAGAAACAAATCGGTATTTGTGTAATGGGTGGCATAGGTGGGTAATTTCCCCCAACTCCATGAGGAAGTACAAAAGTCCAGGTTCTGGAGTACCACTTGAGGAGCTCCACAAAAAACGTGGAGTTGACCTCCAAGGCTCCAACTCCACCTGCAGAGCTGGAAAACCTGGAGTGGAGCAGTCCCAAACAGCCTCTTAGAACGGAGGGAGTACCTTATAGTATTGAGTTGGGATACTTCTTGTAGATTTGTGTCAAAACGTAATTCCATGAAAGTATACATTTGCTATATTTTATGCCTTATAAATATATATTGCAGTGAAAGGTACTAGTCAAAGTTATGTTTCTGAGACCCCATGATGTCCAAAACATCACATATTTTTGGCCGGAGGGAGTACATTCCAGATCATAATTTAATTTTTATTATGAATAATCTGCATATCAGTAGAGAAGGGCGGGCCTGGTGCAAGTTGTAGAGTCTTACCGCCTGTGACCGGAAGGTCCCGGGTTCGAGTCGCGGTCTCTTCGCATTGTACAGACGAGGGTAAGGCTTGCCACTGACACCCTTCCCCAGACCCCGCACAGAGCGGAAGCTCTCTGCATTGGGTACGCCCTGATCAGTATTAATGAGAACATGCATTAAACCATTGCTCAAAGATTGTAAAATTTGAATCTTGATATGTGTGTGCTCCTTATAAACCGGACTGCGCGGGAATAGTTTACAGTATGATGCTCTAAATGTTACACATTCTTTACTTGTTCTTCTTTTTCTCTTTTAATATAGTTTTGCTGTGCATTGTCATAGGACATGGGAATACATTAACCCCATGTTTGTTACTGAAGCTAGAAACTGAACATTGGTGGGAGTCTAGTTGTAACTACTCTGGAGGAATTATTAGGAACCAGCAGATCTAAAATACATGAAATGTACAAAACTTACGGTGATCTTGGTAAGTACCAACTTGTTATCTCATATTGGTAGTATAGAAGAAAAAGGCTTCTAGTGTAATCTTTCGCAATTTTCTTTGCAAAGTGAAGACATATGGATTCATTCGCTAGACTTATGGCAAGATCCAACGTCATTGTGTAGCTTCATTCATTGGCTGTTCCTGATTGAGTTGCCATTTATAGTAACAAGTATCAACAATGGATGAATTGTAATTTGTAGGTAATGTTGCCCAAGAATGTCGTCAGAATCAAACGCTACTTGCTCCTCCCCGCCCTCTCTCGATTTGTGATGTATATTCCACGCTTCGGAAACTAAGGTATTACTTACAAATTAAAACTATCTGCCAGTGGTCCTTCATGAATCTTGCCAAGCATTTCATGCAACTGAAGATTGATTTTATATAAATGGCTAAATTTCAATCGTGGCTAATTTGAATTATATCCAATCTTTTTATGTGGTAATTACTAACTACCCCAGATATCATGTAATGCAACAACAATTTCTGATTATTTTGTACCTTCCATTTTGTAATATGTTGTGCAATCTCATACGACACAGGGAAAACCATTTTCTGATATATTAGTACAGAGCAATGGATATGACAAATAACACATCTCGTCAGTAGAATCTGCTTAGGTTTGACATAATACTTTTTTTAACATTTTTTCTTGTGCTAGATGTTATGTGCTGGGGAAGTATAGAGATAATAGAAAGGATTGCTGTGTGCATTATATACTTGAATAAAGTAACTGGATGCGGCCCTGGACTTTGTCGGCGCGACGGAGATGTAATGGCAGCTTGACGTTGCCCCAGCAAGGTAGGGCACGGTGGGATACACAATGAATCAATCTAATGCCTGCTTAACACTCGGCCGGTCTCGGCTTATATACATGAGCCCAGCCCCAAAATCTAAACCAACTGAATTTGATTTGCTAACAAACTAAATGGATTGATAGCTAGGGACTCTTTTCCTGCCTCGGCTTCTCCTTCTTTTTTTTTATGGTTTTAGTGGAATACCTAAGAAGGGCAGGTCTGGTGCAGTGGTGAGAGCTGTCTCACTGAGTCACCAGGTCGTGGGTTCGAAGCAGTCTCTCCGTAGATTTTGCGGGGGAAAGACTTGTCTCGGTTTATCCCTTTCCTAGACCCCACTCATGTGGGAGCCTCCAACACTGAGTCTGCCCTTTAGTGGAATACCTACATGACACTTAGTAAAAAAAAATCTATCTGTAAGATGCTCCAGTTTTTTGGTTGATGAGGTAAACTCAACCC